AAGCAGAAAGAGCAAAGGATTTAACTCTCTCTGCTGCTTTCCACCTCTCTCCCACTCCATGGGGGCCAACCCCAGATGATCCTGGAGAGGCCCAGATAGATCCAGGGAACTGAAACAAAAAAACCAGCAAGCCTCACTCCTCTATCCTTGTAATGGGTCCCCACCAGCACCCAATTCCTCAATTTCTCAGAGAACTCTGGCTTGGGACAAAGCTAAACAGGTGGCTAGGTAGGGGGAAGAAAGAAGATCCCCACCTTGGAAACATGGCTGCAAAGGAGAAACAGCAGAATGCCTTTTTGCTTCCCCCAACCCTGGCAGCTCCTCTCCCAGAGGCCCAAACACCCCGCCTGGGGCCTCCACCCTCCACGCCTGTAGGGTGAGACCAAGACAGAAGGTGAAAGCCACACTGAGAAGGGCGCATCTCTGTGATGGAGAGACGGGACTGGCTATATGGAGATAGGGACTTGGGCCAAAGGCAACAAATAAAAGGCCAAAGAGAAAGAAAGGTGTAGAACGTGAGGAAGAGGGAGCCTGAGAGAAAACAGGCTGTGTGAGGAGTAGAAAAGGAATTCCAAGTAAGGTGGCAGAAGGAAAAAAAGAGGGGCTATCTGACCTGATACACAGTTCATGATGGAGTGGGGAAAGGTCAGTATGGAAGTGCAGGCCAAGGCCAAGGTGGGCAAGCACAAGGCCTCAGGTGTCTCCCCCCACCCTGGAACCCAGCTCTTACCTGCCCCATCTCCTCTGGAGCAACCAACTCCATCCTCAGCCGCAGGGCTCCATCCTTAGTTCGGGACAGTGGAGGGGTCCCACCTGCTGAGCCCCCTGCCTCCACTTCCACCCTCAGGGAGGACAGAGGTGTGGCAGCCCGGGATGACGTGCTTGCGCTGTCCCCGACCCCAGGCTCTGGGGGACACTGCTGGGGTGGGGAAACTGACAGAGGGGGTGTTTCCACCTTGGCCTTCCCAGGCACTGCCAGCTGGCCCAGCCCCCCGGTGAGGGAGCGAGCCTGAGGTCCAGGGGAGGTGGGAGGTGGGAGAAGCCAGGAGGTGGGACCCTGAGACAGGCTTGGCTGCGGAGTATGGGTGCCCAGGCCCAAGCTGGTCAGCTCCAACCTGGAATCCAAAGATCTGCCCCCAGTGCCCCCTGAGGCCCCTCGAATCCCCTCCAGGAGCCGGCCAAAGCTAGGGGTCTCCAGGTCTCTCTCGTAAACATCCACACATGTCCAACGGCCACGGCGATAAGGCTCTCCCAGGCCTTGTGGCAGCTTCACCACCCGGAAACGGGAGGCAGGGGCCCCAGGCGGTGGGGAACCGTTCCGGGGGGTGCCCTTGCCCCCTGGCTCGGGATTGGGCTCCCCATTGGGCAGGCGGGGTGGGGGCCCAGTGGGGACCGGCAGGGCAGGGGTATCTGGACCTCCAGGGCTCCCAGGGCCCTCATAATCCGTGGTAACGCTGGTGATTTGGAAGCTACTCTTCTTCTTGCCCCCACTCATGGTCCCTGGGGCTCAGGACGGGGCCAAAGTGGGTGGAGGAAGGGGCAGTAGTGGCTCTTCGAAGGGGCTCAGGCACCCCTGGAACAGGGGAGCCACATGGCGGGGACATCAGGGCCCCTGGGGACATCTGGGTCCGACATCGCAAGAGGGCCTTGCAGGAACTGGGGGTGCCTGAGTGGTGAAGGGAGAACAGGGTAGGGGAGGCGGCGAGAGGGGGGAGCAGGGGCAGGTTTTTCCTGCTGCTTTCTGTCGCTGACGAACTCCAGAGCTGAGTTTGCAAACTAGAAAAAGAGTGAGAGAGTGTATGTGTGAGAAAGCAGTGGGCAGGCCACCTCCGGGTCTTCCTCTCTGAGTAGCAGAATCGGAGAGGAAGGGGAAACCACCAGACACCCAGAGACAAAGAGACAGAGATGACAGAGACCAGAGAAGAGGGTACAGTCAGATTGGGCACAGGGAGCAGGAAGAGGCAGCCCAGACCCAAAGTTGGGCATTTCTCGCCTGGGATTCAAACTCATGTAACTCCAAGTCGTCCCAAGAGCAAAGGGCTCCAGGGCCTGGGTGAACAGGAGTGAAGCACCTCCTCGGCCTGCCCCGGCCGCCGGGAGGCCTCTGCTGGTACTCAGGCCCCCACCCCCACCCCACACCCCAGCTCCCCCATCCCTAGGGCAGGCCCTGCCCGCCGCCACAGCGCCCCGCCCAGCCCAGCGCCTTACCTCTCGGCCTCAGCCAACAAGCTGGACCGGGGGTCCCCGCAGCCTAAGATGTCGGGCTGTCCTTTCCCTGGTGCCTCTTGGCCCCAGCAGCGCGAGGGGCACAGGCGGCGATCAGAGTCTGTCCAGCCCTCTTCGGGGGCCGCACCTCACTCCGTAAGGCATCTCCGTGGAAAGTTTGCGCTCCGGAAAAGAAGGAACCCCCGCCTCCTTGGTGGAGCCCAAGCGCGGCCTCTGGAGCCCCAAGTGTCTCTGGGCTGATGCGGGAGGGGGCAGGTCAGCCCCCTGATCCTCCAGGTGGAGCCGCTTCGGTGGTCGGGTCTCCCAAGCCTCTCGTCCCGCGTGGCACCAATGGGTCTCTCCGCTGCTCAGCTCCTTTTCGTTCTGTCTCTCTGTCTCTCCCTTTCTGGGCTGTTGACAACCCCCACACCAGGAAGTCCTGCCTCCTCGGGCCTGCTGACTGCTCCTCTCCTACTCCTCCTTCCCCTCTTCCTCCCCTTCCTCCGCCCTCTCTCCCTCCTGGGGCTCCCGGCCAGCTGGCGCGGGGCCAGGCCGGCCTCTGCCGCTGCTGGTGCGGCAGCAGTTGCCGCCGCTGCCGCCGCCGCCGCTGATCCTGGGACCCGAACCAAGCTCCTTTAACCCCACACCTGCTGGGCCCAAGCCCAGCTCTTCCTCGGAGGGAGGGGCTGTGGAGGGCGGAGGGAAAGGGGAGGAGCTTACAGAGCGGCCCGGGATTCCCTTACTTGTAGGCACTTGCTGGCTGCCATTGGCCTGCAGACACACTGAAGAGTAGGAAGGAACTGATCGGGAGCTCTACTGGTACCTGCCACCGCATAAACACTCAGACATGTTACGGAGCTGCTAGAGCTGTTACTGTCATAGCTTCGCTGGTTTTCGCAGTCACTGTATAAGGAAAGCATCGTTATTCTCCCCTGTTCTTATTTTTAAAAGTGGATTATTACGAGAACTTTCAAAAATGCCCATAAAAATGGACTCTTAGGTACCTATAATGCAATTTCAACAATTATCAACTCACAGCCTATCTTTCTTCAACTATAACCCCCTCTTGTACTGTTTTGAGTTATTTGAATCACATCCAAGGCATCACATTATTCCCCTTCTTTGATGTGGAGATGGAGATTCAGGAGGTTCAGAAAGGGTATCAGTGGTAGAGCAGAGACATTCCACACACTCAGGTATGTCTTTGTTTGGCCCTCATAGAAAAACAACATCCTACGTGTACACGTAATGACCCACACAAAGGCACCTGAGGATGAACTGCTGGCCCCAAGCAAGGGCACCTCTCCCACCTCTCATTTGTCCCATTTTTACATCCCATTTCTTGCTCACTATGGACAATACACATACTCATGAAGGGCCAAATGTGTGCTTGGTGTAAGAGAATAAACTTTGAACCGCCATTGTCTCTTTTTTTGACACCGGAGCCAACATGCTGAGAGGCATTGTTTTAGTAAAAGCCACCTCTGCTGTCATTCTTAAGTTCAGAAAGATATGAATTCTAATTAATTTTGATCAAACAGAACTATTCTCTAGTATATTAAAAATTCCTCATACTTGTTCTCTTCGCATAAGTATCTGGTAGATTCTCAAACAGCCCTGGGCAGAGATGGTGGGTTTTTGAGCTCTGATGTTTCTGCTAAGGAAACTGAGGCTCAGGGACATACTATTATGAAGCTCAGGGGCATACCATTATTTGCCCGAGGCCTCAGACCTAGTATGGTAGCAATTAGACAAGCACAAGGCTGACATCTCTCCTTCCTCAGCGTTAGTTCATGGAAATTTTTAACCAACCTTTAGGATTAGGCAAAACTGAAATGATGCAAAGCGCCTCTCTCCTGCGTTTATATACTTATCATTTATCTCTTTGTTTAAATGCATCTGCACTCCTGCCTGTCTCTTTTCATGGTAACAATGGCTGTTATAGCTGGATCCTGGGGCCTCCCAAATCTTGAGGTCCAGGAGGCGACCTCCCACATGCACACCCCCAACTCTCTCCCTCTGGCAATATTCACAACACTTTCCTGCTGTTCCGCCCCCAGATCCTTTTTCCTTCAGCTGACTAGTTACAGACTATTCAAAACCCATCTTTAGACCCTCCCCCTCCCACATTCTCAGACCCTCAGCATCATCTTAGACTCCTCCGAGTTTAGTCCCTGGCATTTTATTGGTCTCTGTAGAAATGTTTGTTGAATCAATCAATAAAAATTCATTCACAGTAAGGTGTAAAAGTGAAAAAACTGTTGCGTTTTAATGTATTACCTCTCCTGGGGGCATTTATAATAGCCTTTTAGTGTATGGGGCCCTTTACATTTGTATTCATTTCTGTACTGCCCCCAACGTTATTGAGGTCGGTATGAGATGAGGCCATCTCTAAGAACTTGCGCCATTTGCCCAAAGCCACGCAGCACATCACAGAGACTGCCGTATAAAGTAACATTCACAGGTTCTAGGGATTAGGGAGTGAATATCTTTTGGGGGTCCATTTTTCAGCCAGTTAAGGGTAGAACCGAGGTTTTCTTGCTGCGCCAAAGGGAATGAAGGGAGGAATTTCTCATGGAGCTGATGAGAGAAGACCTAGCGGGGGCCTTGGCCAAGGTGGCCGCAGTCAGTGACCTATCCAGAGCGCCCAGGTCCTAGCGGGCTCCGCCCTCGGAGTCAAAGGTTACAGGGTGGATGACTTTTGCCGCCGGGGTGGACAGGCGGAAGACTTTGAGCCCAGAAGGTGACACAAAGCCCAGGCGCCTCAGAGGCTGGAGGGATAGACGAACCGCACCAAGCGAGCCAGCACGGTGCTTTCCCGGCACCTGGGGGGCGGCGGGAAGATGGCGTGCGGCCAAGGGCGCACGCCCCCTGCTGGGCAAAGGTAAGGATGGTCCGGCTCCCGACTCAGAGCCCCTCGGCCCAGAAAGAGGCGCCCCCCTGCCGGCCTCGCCGCCTCACTGCACTAGGGCCCCGCAGCCGCAGACTGGCTCCGGCCCGACGCTGAGTGAGCAGCCGGGGAGCGCCTGGCGCACGAGACGAGTGCGGATGCAAGCCCCGTGCTGCCGCTGGGGGGCACCGCTGTGCGCAGTGCCCTGCTTCGCGCCGTGGGGGACTTGGACACCGAACTAAGCACGGCCCTTTCGGGCACTGGGCGAGAGGTGGCGAGGAGCAGACGCCCCAAAGCGGGGGCTGGCTGGCGCACGGCCCACGGCGCCCTACGACCTTTCTCCCAGTCGCCCCGCGGACTCTGCGGCCCCCGTACCTCCCAACCCAGCCAGGCAGCGCGGAGCAGCGCCGCACGGGCGCTCCCGCCCGGTCCTTGGAGGGTGTGGAAGGGTGGGTTTGGGGCCGGGGGCGGGTCTGGGGGCGGACCCGGAGGCGGGGCTGTCTCTGCGGCAGGACCCAGCTCCGCTCCCCTCGGTCTCTGTCTTTCCTCCTCCCTCCTCCTGCTCCGGGCGGAGCCCGGCATGGGGGGGCCGGCACCCGGCAGGCCAGGTACGGTGATGTAGAAATTGGGGAGGCTTGGTGCGGGGTGATGGGATGGGGGAGATCAGAGGCAGGGAGGATTGGCGGGGAGAGACGGAGAAACCCTGGATAGCAGGACAAGGGGAAGGGGAGGGGTGGCCGGGAACCTGGGGCGCTTGGATGGAGAGGGGGATATAGCCGGCCAGGTTTGGAACCGACAGAGCAGGGAGAGGGCGGCAATGAGGAGGGGCGCCTGGGAGGAGTGGTGAGGCGCAGGAGAGTGTGTTTGGGGGAAGGGAAACAGGCAGGTATGGAGGCCGCAGCTCAAAGGTAGCTACGGGGCCAGACTAGAGACACTGGGGTGGGATTGAGGGGCGGGAACTGGAAGAGGGGAGCCAGGAGCTTCCCAGATCCTGGAGAAGGAAGAAGGTGATTTGGGCCATCAGCGAGGGAAGCGGAGACCATCGCTGAGGAGCCAGGGCGCAGGATGAGGGGTGGACTGAGGCCCGGGCCCAGGCAAAGAACAGGAAGGGCCCTAGGACGACAGGGGATGGAGATATTTGGATGGTGGTATTGTAGATGTCCAACTAAGAGTGCCCCCACCCTTTTTCCAGCATCCCAGCCCTGCCCTCATTACACCCCCCAGCCTCAGGGCCCAAGATGGGGTTAGGAGTCTGACTGTCTCCCCCTTCCCCCGTAGGGTGCAATGTACGCAAGTAGGCCTGGACATAACTCCTTGTCCAGTTCTATGCAGCCTATTTGTGTGTGTCTGTCTGGAAGTCTGTGTGTGCCGTGGGTGTGTCGGGTGTTTATGTCAGTGTGTGTCTGCCTGTTCCTAGGTTGTGTTTACCTGTACTGATCTATGTGTTTGGTCCTGTATTTGTAGATATGGGTCTATGGCCCCGTGGTTTGTGTGTCTGAAGGTGTGTTTGTTGGGCCTATGTGGTGGATCAGGATGTATTTACAGGATGGCAATCTCTGTTGATCTGATCTCTCCAGAGTATGTATTTGTGGCTCTGAACACCTTTGTCAGGCTGTGTGACTCTGTATACAAATGTCCATCTATGTCTCTCTGTCTTTGGGTCGTTAGAAGCGGTATTGGGTTTTTTGTGCCTCCATCTGTTTTCTCCCTGTGAGGACTCAAGTCATGTCTCTGTTCCTCTCCCCTACCCCTCTTTCTTGTTCCTGTCTCCCCACCCACCCCACATCTTTCTTTCTTTTTTTTTCTCCCCCCCCAACCAAGTGGATCCGGGACCCAGGGAGGGCCGCCCCCCGGGCCTGGTGGTGCTGAGCAGGGCCCCTCAGCCCCCACCTTCTGTCTCACGACATGAACCTCCTCTACCGAAAAACCAAGCTGGAGTGGAGGCAGCACAAGGAGGAGGAGGCCAAGAGGAGGTAAGGCTGCATGCCGGAGTGTCCCTCACCTGCCTGCCTCTGTCTCCCCCTGGCTGAGCCACATCACTTCAGCCCTTCCTGAGTCCAACAGCTTGGTCATCAGTCTGATCTCAGAGTCTATACAGAATTGCTGGAACGGCACACACCCTGTTCCCACCCTGTTCCTGGCTTCAGCCCCTGTCCTGCCTTTTTGGAGGGCTTCCAGCTTAGGAGCACCCTGTTGGTTCTTCCCCATCCCCAAAGGCCCAAGACACTCCTTCCTAACTCACCTCTCTGTCAATTTGGGGCTGGCTCTTGGCTCCTCTCTCATCTGACCTTGGAAGGGGGAGGCCCTGCTGCCCTCACAGTCTAGGGACAGGACATTTGAGGGGCACCAGAGAAGATCCATTTGGCCCCCTCTCCGGCTCTGCTGGGGGAGGTGAGTGGCTAAGTGATAGGGTGGTGTGTGGGTGGTGAGGGCTGGGCCCTGCAGAAGAGCCAGGGCTTGCCCTCTCCCTTTGCCCTCCCAGGGATCTGGGGCCTGGCTTCTCCCATCTTGCTCCCTTCTCCTCTTCACTTCCACTGACTGCACAGCCTCTTGGAGGCTGAGTCAGAGCAATCTCCCTGCTCCCTTCTCCATCCTCACAACTGGAGTTTAATTCTTGTTAATTAGATTAATCAGAGCTATCACTGCAGTGATCTCTCCCTAATAAAGGGTTAGTAGACAGGGCCTTAATGAAAGCCCACCCCACAGTTCTCCCCTCTTCCCTGCCAGCCGCCCCCATCCTTCACTCACCCAGAAGCTCAGGGACAGCGAAAGGGAATGGGGCCGGGAGGCTTAACAGAGATAGGACAGCACTGAGGAGGGAGAGAGAGAAGGATCAACCTGGGAAGAATGCCCTGGTGATGTGGCAGTACAGTCCCAAGTCTGGGAGGGGAGGGGAGGTGTGGTGTGGAGTATAGGCCACTGAGGCTGGACACGGGGGAGGCCAGAGGCCAGGTGCGGCTCAGCATGGGTGAAAAGGAGTGGAGCTGTGGTGGCAGGAGTGTGGGCCAGACAGAGCTGTGCTGCCTTAATTTGCCTCTCTCGTCCGCTGCATGAAGCTATCCACACGTGTGCTGTGTGCTAGGTATGCCTAGGCGGGTATCAGCCAGCTCTAGGATACTCTCCTGCACACATACTCACCCCTTTTCTCATCCCATTTTTGAAGCATAGGGATTCTGCCTGAAGCTTCTACTTTAGTGCCCTGGACCTTCAGGCTTCCCCCGATCCTCACCCCAGTCCCCTTTCTTCCTCCCTAGAAGGCCACAGGGTCACAAACTCCTCTCGAGGTGGAAAAGGGGACTCAGGCCCAATCTCTGCTCCATTTTGACCTTCTCTCCCCAGCTCCAGTAAGGAAGTGGCGCCTGCAGGCCCAGTGGGGCCCGGGGCTGGCCCAGGGCCTGGGGTTCGAGTTCGGGACATCGCCTCTCTGCGCCGCTCCCTCAGGATGGGCTTCATGACAATGCCAGCCTCCCAGGAGCACACCCCCCATCCCTGCCGCAGCGCGATGGCCCCTCGCTCTCTCTCCTGCCACTCCGTGGGCAGCATGGACAGTGTGGGGGGTGGGCCTGGTGGAGGTGGCGGGGGTCTTACCGAGGACAGCAGCACACGAAGACCCCCAGCCAAGCCCCGGAGACACCCCAGCACCAAGCTCAGCATGGCAGGGCCCGGCACAGAGACGCCCCCTAGCAAGAAGGCAGGTAAGATACCCCTGCCCCTCCCCCAGGGAAGCTGGGAGCCAGGAGCTGGAAGAATCCATTCCAGGCCAGGGGAAGACCGCTGGGAGGGTTCAGTCTGGGAAGAACCAAGGAAGTGGAAGATTTCATTCTCAGAGGGGATGGGGGGGTTCCTTTTTAGAAGGGCTTAAGATGAATTATTCAAGGACAGGGAAAGCTTCCTGAAAAGTACAATATTGGAGGTGCATGAGGGTGGGAGATAATTTAGGGTGGGAGCTGCAGATTCTGAAGAGTTCGTTAGAAGGACTGAAAGCTGACTGATAGGATAGAAATCCACTGGAGCTGTAAGTTGAGGGATGTGGGCAAAAGGAAGGGCCAGATATATCCTTGCAGATGGGTGAAGAGGTCAGAAAAGGTCTCCCCATTCCATTACCCAACCAAGAGCCCAGTTTATTTTTCTCTTTCCTATTCTTCCCAGGCTCACAAAAGCCAGCCCCAGAGAGCCAAGAGTCTAGCCGGAAAGTTCCTCCACAGAAGCCCAGGCGAAGCCCCAACACTCAGCTCTCTGTCTCCTTTGATGAGTCCTGCCCCCCAGCCCCCTCTCCTCGAGGGGGGAACCTGCCCCTTCAGCGCCTCAGTAGAGGGTCCTGCATTGCTGGGGACCCTGAGGTGGGTTCCCAAGAAGAAGAGCCAGTGTACATTGAGATGGTGGGGGATGTCTTCAGGGGAGGAGGGAGAAGTGGAGGGGGCCTGACTGGTCCCCCTCTTGGGGGTGGGGGCCTGACCCCTCCAGCTGGCGCTGACTCAGACTCAGAAGAGAGTGAGGCCATATACGAGGAGATGAAATATCCGCTGCTTGAAGAGGCAGGGGAAGGCCGGGCCAACGGGGCCCCTCCACTGACTGCCACCTCCTCGCCACACCAGCCTCATGCCCTCCAGCCCCACATTCACCACCGTCCAGCCTCAGCCCTCCCAAGTCGGAGGGAGGGGACACCCACCAAGACCACACCTTGTGAAATCCCCCCACCTTTCCCCAACCTCCTTCAGCATCGTCCTCCACTTCTGGCCTTCCCTCAGCCCAAGTCTGCTTCCCGAACCCCTGGCGATGGGGTCTCGAGGCTACCAGTCCTCTGCCACTCCAAGGAGCCAGCAGGCTCCACCCCAGCTCCCCAAGTGCCTGCCCGAGAGCGGGAGACGCCTCCCCTACCGCCTCCGCCTCCTGCTGCCAACTTGCTGCTGCTGGGACCCTCGGGCCGGGCCCGGAGCCACTCAACACCGCTGCCACCCCAGGGCTCTGGCCAGCCCCGGGGGGAGCGGGAGCTCCCCAACTCCCACAGCATGATCTGCCCCAAGGCAGCAGGGGCGCTGGCAGCCCCTCCTGCCCCGGCCACCTTGCTCCCTGGCCCCCCCAAGGACAAGGCTGTGTCTTACACCATGGTGTACTCAGCAGTCAAGGTGACCACCCACTCCGTCCTGCCAGCTGGGCCTCCCTTGGGTGCTGGGGAGCCAAAGACAGAGAAAGAGATCTCAGTCCTTCATGGGATGCTGTGCACCAGCTCGAGGACCCCTGTTCCTGGGAAATCCAGCCCCCACAGCGGAGCCATGGGTGCAGCAGCTGGGGTTCTCCACCACCGAGGCTGCCTGGCCTCCCCACACAGCCTTGCGGACCCAACTGCAGGCCCCCTGACCCCTCTCTGGACCTACCCAGCCTCAGCGGCTGGGCTTAAGAGACCCCCTGCCTATGAAAGCCTCAAGGCTGGGGGGGTGCTGAATAAGGGCTGTGGAATGGGGGCCCCATCCCCCATGGTCAAGATCCAGCTGCAGGAACAAGGGACTGATGGGGGTGCCTTTGCCAGTATCTCCTGTGCCCACGTCATCGCCAGTGCAGGAACACCAGAAGAGGAAGAAGAGGAGATGGGCACTGCAACATTTGGGGCAGGCTGGGCTCTGCAGCGGAAAGTCCTGTATGGAGGAAGGAAAGCAAAAGAATTGGACAGTGAGTGAAGGGAAGATGGGCGGGGTGGGGATATCCATGGTGATTTAGGGGAGGCCTTGGAGGAGTTATTTGGAAGCCATGGCCCATTGTCCTGAACCGGGAAGAGTTCTGGGAGACCACAGGGATGAGGGTATGCAGTTGACTGAAGGGATGAGATTCCCATATGTGTGCTGAAGGGGCGGGAAGATCTGGGCTGAGGGGGTAGACGGCCCCCAGAGCAGCCTCCTCCTTCCGCCCCATCCAGCTTTACTCTCTGCCCCTCCCTTTGCTGGGCTGCAGGGGTGTGAGTGAGTGTGCACACACTAGCAGCTAAACACAGCTGCCTCCCAGCTGTTACCATGGCAACTCATCCAGACAGGAGGGAGAGGAGAAGGAGGCCCCTACTGTTGCCTGGCAACTCAATGCTCTGCCAGGCCTACTCAGAGATGAGCTTAGTTCACAGTCAGCCCTTCCCCCCAACAATCCCCCCTACACACACACACACACACACACACACACACACACTCTTCCTGGCTCAGGATTTGGGTTTCTTCTGAAGGTAGGGCCCCTGGTCTTCTCCCAAGGGTGGTCATTCTATCTCTATCTGGGGCTGGAGGGGCTCGGAAGCTCAAGCTGGGATAGGAGAGGCCCCAATGCCAAGGAAAAGGGTTTGGAAGCAGTAAATATCTATGATCTCAGCCCAGGAATGGCACTAGTGAGTGCAGTGGAAGGTAACAGTACAAGGATCCCTCCCTCCTGTGTGTGAATATGCTGGGGGAGTGTGAAGTAGGGACCCTCCCTTCCCAGCTATGACCTGCAAAGGGGCAGTTTCTTCTGGTCCCCCCATGCTTTGATGTGTGGAGCTGGGAGGGAGCTGGGAGAATAGCAAGGCCCCTCCCACATGCAAGCACTGAGCTCTCCTTATCATCCCAGCAGAGGTTGAGGACAATGCCCGGTCCTGGAATGGCAGTGCCGAGGGTCCAGCCAAGGTGGAGCGTGAGGACAGGGGTCCTATGACATCAGGGATCCCAGTGAGGAGCCAGGGGGCAGAGGGCCTGCTCACCAGGATCCACCATGGAGTGGACCGAGGAGGGAGTCGCACCGCGCTGCCCACACCCTGCCAGACCTTTCCAGCCTGCCACCGAAATGGAGGTGACACCCGGCCCTCCCACACCTGTACACAGATGGGGTGGGCTGGGGGGAATTTCCCAGGGCCCGTGTCCTGGAGCCTATATCCTAATATCACATCTCCCCCTTTCCTCTGATGAGGCAGGGCAGGCGGGAAGAGGCTGTCCTTCGGGAACTTGGGAATGGGTTGACCTGAAGTCCTCTTCCCTCGCTTCTTTCTCCTCAGACTTCACAGGAGGCTACCGCCTGGGGCGCTCTGCCTCCACCTCTGGAGTCCGGCAGGCCGTGCTCCACACTCCTCGGCCCTGCAGCCAGCCCCGGGATGCCCCAAGCCAGGTGAGGAGGAGGACGAGGTTGGATTCTACTTGTGAAGGAGCAGGTGGAGAGGGCCAGAATGTCGGAAGGAAGGCGTGAGGTCAGGCTGGGGCCTGGCACAGACTAATAGGGTCCCTATAGAGGTGGGGGCGGAGGTGGGGCGGGGGAGTTGGGGAGGATCCTGGAAAGGGGCTGCTTATGATGGGCAAGCCAGGCAGGGCTACCACTGGTGGACAGTGCACCTTTGTGCATTTAGAAAAAAGTGTCCCTTCGCGGGGGGGGGGGGGGGCGGGCAGGGAGAGACCACTGGAAAAATGCATTCTACTAGCAAGGCAGTTTTCAAAAAAGACCTCTTCCTCAGGGTGAAACAGGCCCCGACTGCCACCAGGGCGCACAGCTGGGCAAAAGGTGCAAGGGCTGGATTTCTGTTCCCATCTGTGCAAGGGGGAGAGGACGGGGCCAAGGGAGGACTTGTTTCTGGGACAAGGCACTGGTCTCTGCAGTGGGGACAGAGCCCAGTCGCTCTGAGGTCCTTGACCCCTTTCTTCCTTTCTCCCCCGTCGGGCGGCGGCGGGAGGAAGGGGGCACAGACCCACCCTGCGCTGCCGCTGCCGCTGCCCCTGCAGCCCCAGCCGGCCCGAGAGAGAGAGCGCGACGGCAAGCTGCTGGAGGTGATCGAGCGCAAGCGCTGCGTGTGCAAGGAGATCAAGGCGCGCCACCGCCCCGACCGGGGCCTCTGCAAGCAGGAGAGCATGCCTATCCTCCCCAGCTGGAGGCGGGGGCCGGAGCCCCGCAAGTCCGGCACTCCTCCCTGCCGCAGGCAGCACACCGTCCTCTGGGACACTGCCATCTGAGGAAGGCGGGAGGCCAGGGCACTGGGACTGGGGAACGGGGCGGGCTCTCTGAGAGACTTGCCTTGAAAGAGGGACAATGGAACCAGGTGAGAGAGAGCCAGGGAGAACCCCTGCCCTCCATCCTAACCCTCGGAGATGGGGAATCGGCCAGGCCTATCGGGCTTGGGACGCCAGCAGCACCCCCAGAAGTTTAGGGGGGACAGAGGGTTTGCTTGAAGTTGGGAGTGAGGCCCTTGCTGCTCGGGTCGTCCTGAGAGGGCAAAGGCCAAGCCAGAGGTCAGCATGGGGGAGGAGGGATGGGGAACGGGGTCCATTACAGGAGAGGGACTAAAGAGTGATAAGTGAAGGAGCTCTTATAGAGTCGGGTATTGGGGAGGGCATATTTATTTTGTTATTTATTTTAGTTTAGAGGGCAATTCTGAGCCCTCTGACCTACTCCTGAGCAGGGGGTTGGGAGAAGTTAGCAATTAAGGGAACCACTTTTGCACTCTCCCGAATGCCTAGAGGCCCCACCATCCATGCCTGCCCCAAAGCTAGGGATTGGTCTGGAGGGCAGCAGATACATTTACAATATTTACAAGTCAGAATTGGGTAGTGAGCGTGGCCTGCTGTGAAACAGGCATCTTATTTAGCTCTGGAGTGAGGATCTGGCACTAGGGGTGGGTGGGATGATGGGGAAGGAGGGAAACTTTAGCGGGTGGGTGGAGGGCAGGGTATTTATTTAAATTTTAAAAAATCAGAAGAGATGTCAGGAATTTTTTTTAATTCCTTTCTTTCAGAATAATATATTAAAGACTAATGATCCTAGAACTGGCTTCTTAAATTTCAGTGTGCTCTGCCTTTCTTACATTTGTTTCCTTTTCCCTCTGGCCCTTGGTTTGTGGGAGGTGAAGGTTGTGCAGGGAGGGTTGAGTGGCTGTAGCAAGTAACAGGAACAGGTGGAGTCTGAGGTAAATGTTCAGGATTACAACCATACAGTGAGTGACTCAGTAGGCATTTATGGAGCATCTGATGTGTGCTTGGCAATGCGCCAATGCAGAAGGAATAATCAAACTAAAACCTGCCTGCAAGCGCCTATAATCTACCCAGGGAGGTGAGCTGAGCTGACACTAGGCAGTGCTCCTGGAATAGGAGGGAGAGGGCTGGAATCATCGGAGAAAGCTTCCTGGAAAGTGACCCTCTAAGGACAGGTAAGGTTTGGATGAACAGGGGGGAAGAGGAAAGACCCAAAGTCACAATGTGATTGTAGAACAGTAGAAGATGGTGTTTGGGGGTGAGAAGTATGTTTCAATAATCAGAAGGTGATAGGGAGCCAGCCACGAAGAAGCTCATTCAGAAAGATGGGCCTCAAGGCAACATGCTGGTCCTGGGAAAGGAAACCAGAGAAATCCTGGGAGGTGATATATCACCATGGAGGGGATGAAAAGAATGTCTGAGAGAATGGAAGGCAAAAGACAGTGAATGGGAGGGGGGTGGGGTGAGGGGGCATCTTCAAAGCCCATGTTTGGAGCTTATGTGACTGGGGAAATGGTCACCTTGATAGAGCAAGAAAAGTGGGGTTAAGAGGACTTTTAGGGAAGATCAATGAGTGTGAAGTGATGATGAATATTCAAGTTGAAAGGTTTGTGACCAGCTAGATCAGAGTTTCAGAAATGTGGTGGATGATACAAGGGATGTTTTAAAACAGTATGTAGAAGAATGTTAAAAACTTAATAGTCTTGTGTTTATTTTCATTAGAGAAATTATAAGGAGCACATCGGACTTCTTGTTATTTCATGAGTACTATATAAGATGAGGCAAATTTTTAATGAGTTGGTTTAAAGAAAACTTAAGCAAATAATGGTACAGGTAGTGTATAGAATATGAAAAATTATGGCAGTGGTATAAGAGTTCTTGAAATTTAGGAAATACCAAGTTAGCTATAAAACGATAGTGTGGGAGAGATGACAATACTACCCATTAGGAGTCATCAACATAGAACTGGTAGTCAAGGTCAAGACAGCTCTATAAGAGAGGGTGTGGATAGAAATAAGAGTTAAGAACAAAATATAAACAAGGAATAGCTTTTAAATTTTTTCTTTTTTTGAGATATAACTGACATATAATATTGTATTAGTTTTAGGTATACAACATAATGGTTGATATATGTATGTAATGTGAAATTATCACCACAGTGTTTAGTTAACATCCATTACCACATGTCCTGGCTATGTGGCTCAGTGGATTGAGCACTGGCCTGTGAACCAAAGGATCGCCAGTTCAATTCCCAGTCAGGACTCATGCCTTGGTTGCATACCAGCTGCCCAGTAGGGGGCACTCCAGAGGCAATCCCACACTGACGTTACTCTCCTCTTTCTCCCTCCCCCTGTCTAAAAATAAATAAGTTAAAAAAATCTTTAAAAAAATTTTTTTTAATCCATCACCACACATAGTTACACATATTTTTCTTGTGATAAGAACTTTTAGGATCTAGTCTCTTAGCAACTTCCAAACATGCAATATAGCAGTGTTCGCTATGATCACCATGTTGTACATCACATCCCCAAAACTTATTTATCTTATAACTGGAAGCTTGTACCTTTACTCATCTTGCCCCCCACCCTCACCAACCACCAATCTGTACTCTGTATGAGTTCAGTTTTTTGTTTTTATTTTAGATTCCACATAAAAGTGAGATCATATGGTATATGTCTATCTGTCTGACTTATTTCACTTAGCATCATGCCCTCAAGATCCATCCATTAATGTCATGGAAAACAACAGGGTTTTCAGTCGCTTTTAAATAAGAAGTTAGAAAATTAATGGAAGGAAACATCCCATTTATAAGAGCAACAAAAATCATACAATATCTAGAAGTAACTTTAACAAGAAATGTATAGGACTATATTGGGTCAATCAATAAAACTAAAGTTCTCTGAGTTATTTAGACCAAGAAGACTAATCATCCAAGAAGACCAAGAAGAATAATCAGAGTAATAACTTTTTTTTAGATAAAACCATAATATAAAAGATGTCAGTTTTCCCTACATCCATAAATTCAATGAAGTCTCCAAATCCCAAAAACGTAATTTGGGAAGGTTGACAAAATAATTCAAAAGTTCATCTAGAATGATAATGAGAAAAACTAGAACATTCCAAAACTGATGAGTAATAGGGACCTGGCCTACCAAATACCAAAAGTTGAAATAAAAGCACAGTGTGCTGAAGTTGGCACAAGACTGGCATAATTCATCAGAATAGAATTAAAAAATCACCCCAAATGAACATGAGAATTTAGTAAATGTATGGTAAAAATGGTGTTTAAAGATGGGAAAATATTTAATAATTGTTTCTTGAACAATTAGCCAGTTAAGGGAGAGTGTGGAAAGCTGGATTTCTATTTCATGTATTACACCAAAAGATTTAAGTGTAAAAACAAAACATTAAAAGGGAAAGGTAGGGGAACATGCTTATAACCTTGGGATAGAGGAGGTCTTTCTAAAATGATGTGAAAACCAGAAACAAATCAAAAGAATTTTAGGTTTGATCACATTCACAATTCAAATTTTTATATGGCTAAGTCAAACTATAAATATTTAACTGGGAAAATATTTCTAACATGTGAAAATGATCAATACAATAATAAGAAAGATTTTTGAGTTGATAAGAAAAAGGAAAAAACAAACAAACAAATGTTAACAGAGGACATGAACAGACAATTCACCAAAGAAACAGAAATTAACAATAAACATGTTCAACCTTATCAATTTGTAATGCAAAATAGAATAACAATAAAAAACTTTCACCCATCAGATAAAACTGAAAAAATTCATAACATCAATCTGGCAAGTATGTGCAGGTAACAGGCACTCACTGTAAAAAGAAATTAATACAGCCTTTCTGGAGGTCAGTTTGATAGCATTTATTAAAATTTAAAGTGTGTATACTTTTGACTTAAAAATTCCATTCTGAGGAATTTATCCTATAGAAACAGTTATCCAGGTGTACTAAGCTAAATGTACAAGGATGCTAATCACAGCGTTATTTTGAAATAATGAAAAATTGGAAAAACCCCCAAAGTTCATCAGTATGACACTGACTAAATAATATATGGTATCAAAGAAGTTGCTAAGTAGAATGCAGAAGATACAGCTGTTGTAAGCACAAGAAGCAGTTCCTGATAAGTGAACAAACCAATGTGCAGAAAAGTACATTAGAACAAGCACAATTTTTAGAAAAATCATTTGTAAATTTTTATGTAGGTCTGAAGGAAATGCACTAAGTAAGTGATGGTGATTATTTTGAGGACTGAAAAGAAAGGGATCTTAATTTGGTTTTTAAAAAAATAAATTTAGATTGCTTGAATATTTATGTGTATGTCTTTATTCTGAAATCAGAAAACTATATGTGTATGTGTATAGTTTTGTTTTGTTTTTGAAGAGAAATAAGTAGTTAAGTGTTCCGGGAGGATGTAGACTGGGCAGGGGTGGTGCTCAGTGACAAGAAGCAGAGGTAGGCACCAAGTGTTAGGTACTATGGAGCTGACATGTGTGGGTTCAAATCCCAGATGGGCACTTACAGGCTGAAAAGAAAGAGGTAGGGATAGAGATGGAGAAGAAGTGAGGTGAGAAAGACTGGAATCTTAGCAGAGATGAAGTGAAAGGCTGGAGTGAACAGAATCAGGATAAGAAAGGCTCAGACAAAGGCAGGTGCTTGAGAATGCTGTGAGCCAGGGCAACCCAGACATTTTGCTGGATGTACAAGATTGGAGGCCTGCTAAGAGTTAAGAAGTTTAAAAAGATGTAAACTGTGCTGGATCTATGAAACCTCACATGAGGGATGAAGGATGAGCACCTCATGGGAAGTCAGCCTGGGCCCAGCCCTGCCTGCCAGACACATGGTAAAACACCTGGGAGCCTTCCTGGGGCAACTAAGCCACTTCCGACTCTGACTTGACATCTTTTGAAACCCCAGCAAAGCAGGGAAGTCTAGGGCACAGCCAGAGGTGAGAGGGTCCTGGAGCATTCGAGTCAAGAGGGTAACAGGAGCTGGGTGGAAAAGACCTTCTTTGGGGAGGGAACACATTCAAATTAGAGGGGAAAGACAAGTTCCTCCGAAATAAGGTGCTGCCTTATTTTTCACAGGCAATTTGTCCGTTGAGATCATATTTCAGCTGTGAAGAGAGGTTTCTATCAAAGGGTCATGTCAAAAAGACTTAGGAGCAAATATGAGGAGTTCTCAATGTCTACAGGATGGGATAGTTCGAGCATCAAGAAGGGTAAGAACTGTAGTAGATATGAGAGGCAAATATGATTCAATTCATTAATTCACAATGACAAAAAAATATTTCTCACCTTTGGAGAATGCTAGAGAATCAATTCATTATTTTGAAAACTGGTGAGTAAAAGGAAAGGACCAAACATCTATTTACCTCTATCAAATCACTAATGAAGGGAACTTTCTCTTTATATAAATATTCCAGCTAGCAAATAAAGGCAGAATTTTAAAATTGGAGTATCACCATGAAATAATGGATCCAGGTATTGAATTTCAATAGCAGCTATCATCACATATCACATTATAAGAGGCAACCAGACACGGTGTGCCTCCTGATAGAAGAATGCACCACCATCTACGAAGTGTTCTAGTCCCCAA